GGTTGAGAGCCTGGCTGTCATACAGAGGTCTCTGTACTCAGGGCTGCTGCTTCCACCACACCAAGTGGGGCAGGGGGGCTGTGCCAGCCCCCCACAGTTGTTCAACTTCACACTGGAGCTATTCAACCCCGGGCAATGAGGGGAAGGGAGCAGAGGCAGGTGGGCACCCAGCCCCGACACTCCAGTGAGTGGCTGCGGGTGTCTGACGGCAGCTGCAGACAGAGACAGGTTTCACATGGCACCAGCCTCAGCTGTTTGGGAACGTGCTGAGCTTGTCACAGAGGAACAGGCTCAGCACACAGCCTCACAAAGAGAGGATGGCGAAACAGGTAATGTAGTCAGTGGCAGGACAGCGGGAGGTAATTCCCAGCTCATCCCAAACCCACTGGGCTGACTCTTCTCAGGCAATCCTCTGTGTCAGCCCTAATTTTGTACAGGACCAGGGGAGAGCTCTGGTGGCTTCCTCCTCTGCTAATTGCCAGAAGCAGGGGAGGAAATTGCAGCTCCCAGAGGGCACAAATTCAGCAGAACATAGACCTGGCAGCCACCCTGTGTGTCCCACCCCAGCCACGCCACCCTCTCCATCTGCCTCCCTGAGCACCAGGTCAGGAACAACTCCCGGTTCTCTGGGCTCCAGAGTCTGAATGTTGATGGCATTCAGACAAGTGAAGTGACACGTGCGAGGCTGAAAAACACTTGTGGCAGCACACGGGACCAGAGCAGGCTGGGACAGGATGTTGGGGATGGATCCCTTCCCACACTAAACCCAGCCCCGATTCTCTTTGCAATCGTTTCTCTTTAAGCCCCAGCTCCAAGGATAAGATCCTTAATTTGAAGAGTGGATCCTATCGACATAAAAAGTTTAGGGCAGCAGGATTTCCTCTCACTCCCCTCATCCCCCAGAACAGCAAAGGAAAGAGCCGTGGCTGGAAGACGCTGGCAAATGCAGCAATGGGAGTGGGGCCACAAACCAAAAGTGCTGGAGCCTGTTCCTCTGTTGAGGTTGTCCTTGGGAAAAAGAGGGGCTGGATGTTTGCACGGGCAAGAATTCCTCCCTCCCAGGAGCCCAGCCATCCTGAGCTGTTGCCTGCAGATGTCAAGGGAAAACCAATGTTTCTGCGGCGCTGGAGACTCACGGTGGCACATTTAAGAGGGTCCCAGAGGGGCAGGGGGGTCCAGCCCAGCCCAGCCCTGTGTCACTGACTCCCCCAAAGCATCCCCAGCTGTACAAGCTGCTCTTTGTTTGCTCCAAAAGGGCAAAGCCTCCTCCCAGCTAAAGCATTCCCTCCCTGGCAGGGATTCCACGAGGCAGAGGGGGGGAACAGCCCAGGAGCCGGAGGTTTCACCCCACGCAAAATGTTCCAGCACAAGTTCATTGCTGCTAAAAGAAGGGCCTGGCCTCGTGGCAGCACTGAGTCCTAGTTTCCACCCCCTCCTCTTTTTCAACTAAATGGGTCCTGTTCACCTGCTCCTGCCTGGAGGGTCTTCACTGAAACCAGCACAGGGCAAAACCCCCTGGGCTGGGGAAGGGCTGTGGGGTTCACCTCCTGGCACCCCACTGCTGCCACCCTTGCTCTGCCCCTGGGTGAGCTTCCTCTTTCCACAACAACCTTTGGGAAACAGGAGATTTGTCCTCATTAGGTCCAGGGATGAGGTCTGGGCCCCGGGAGGAAGAGGCGCTGCCAAGGCACCAGCTTAATCGTGTTAGGGGCTGCAATTCAGGAAGACATCGCTCATCAGCCGCGGTGCTAACAAGGGCTGGTTCCTGCCTTGGAGGAGGGAGCTGGTCCCTGCATGGCCAACCCTCACCCATGGAGCAGGCACTGAGCCCCCCAGAAGGCCTCTCCTGGAGGTGCCCAAGGGCCGCATCCTACAGCCCTTGCACTGACAAACACATCACACATCTGGTATGGGGTGAACCCTCATGGAGCAAGGCAAGAGCTGTGGATCCTGTTCACCCCATGAGTCAGGAGTCAGCTCAAGGAGAGGGGGTGATGGGCAGAACCGGGCACAGAGCATCTCTCCAACCGCCCAGTGCTGCTCTGGAATCCAAGTGTCCTCCAAGAAAGGGGACAGAAGCTCGAGGACACCAGAGACAAGGGCATTTCAGACTGGTCCTGTCTCTCCCCATGGTCTGGGGTGCTGCCAGCACCCCTGAGTCACCAGCCACCCTCACCGCACCCTCTGCTTTGCTTCAAGTACAGCTCCAGCATATCCACAGGCCATCAAGAGTTGGGGACACACGTGGAACAGGGCTAGGCAGTGCTGCCTGGAGGTGTCCCTTGTCCTGGGGCACAGCCAGCACCAGGCTGCACAGGGTCCCTGTGCAAGGAGCTGAGTGGGCACTCTGGGATCACCACTGGGAGAAGCCAAACAGGCAGTGGAAAGGTCCAGCCCAAAGGCAAAGCAGTGGCCAGGGACAGAGGAGTGGCAGGAGGGAGAGAGCAGGCAGCTGCCTGCACCTCCCAACTCAGCTCTACCCAGAGCCTCCTCCACCCATGCAGCTCTTGCAGCAGTGTGTCGGTACTGGTTAGACTGGTCCCCTGTTTGCACAACCTCTCCCCCTCCAGCCAGCATCTCTTCCCCCACCCCAAACAGAGAACCCAGCACTGTGCCACATCCAGACACATCATGCAGTGGCACCCCCAGCCCCCCACCCTCCCTCTGTGCTGGCGAGACAACCCCTGTGGTGAGCAGCGGTGATGCTGTGGGTGCTGATAACACCACCCCGAGTGCCTGCCCTGCGGGAGATACCCGGTGCTTCCCCAGGGCTGACAGGCACAGTGAGGGATGCAGAGGGCTGCCAGTTACTTATTAGCCAAAGTGTCACCGTGTCAAGGTCAGACCAGGTGCTGACCCAAGGGCTTGGGGTGGGCAGAAGAGCCGGCAGAGCAGGCACATCCCTATGCAAGTGGATGTCAGGGAGCAGAACAAAACCTGAGCAGGTCCTTCCTGATCCCGCCAACAGTTCCAACCCCTCCAGAGAGTCAGTCTTGTGGCTGCCCCATTCCCCCATGCCCCAAAGACTTGGGACACCACAGCCAAACTGAGCCCGACAAGCAGCATCACGGCGCGGCAGGCAATCATGCCCTTCTCTGAGCAGCACTGCCACATCAAGCAGGTCCCCACGGACACGAGATGAGCTGCAGCCCCTTTGCAAAGGCTATGGGGACTTTACTAGGGCTTTGGGAGTTGGAGAGCAGCCCTGATACCGTGCCCAAGAATGGGGACACACCAGATGCAGGAATGAATAGCACCGGCTTCCCCCGCAGAACCGCTCTTCCACCTCACCGACTGTGACTCAGAGACGACTCAACACAGAAACACCCCTGTCCCCCCGAGCCCCGCACACCAATCGCTCTCCAAAACCCACCGAAACCCACCTCCCAGCCTCGAGCTGCTCTTTGGGAACCCCCTCGAATCACAGAACTTTTTTCAGGGGTTTGTCAGCGCTCAGGAACACGCACACAAGCTCCCGGAGCACAGCCCATCGCAGGGAAAAACTCCACACCCATTTTCCACTCTGCAGCACAGCCAGCTCCCAGCTCCCCGCCAGCCAAGGCTGCGGGCTGGGCATTTTTTGCAGCCCTCGAAAGATCGTGGCCAAGATAGTTCTGGGTTTGCATAAGGCAGAAAAAGCCTTTAGACAGCTCAGCTCCTCCTCCCACCAGCACCCGGATCCTTGGGATCTGGGAGCAGGGATCTGGCAAGCAGCAAGTGGGACAAGTGAAGCTGGCTTATCCGAGGACGGAGCTGCAGTGGTGCACGAGAAATAGAAAGTTAAATATAAATAAAACCCCGCACAGCTTCTGGAGACGTTTGTAACAGGCAGCACGTTCTCTCCCTCCCAGTAGGTGGAATATTTATGTCATCTTCTGAGGAAAGCTAATTTTAGCCTCATTTGGTGCAGACTCAAAACGAGGTGTCCAGAATAAGAGGCGAAAGATCAAATGGAGGAAGAGGGGGTTGTCCCGACACTGCCCAGCCCGGATCCGGCCGCGAGCCAAAGCTGATGACGGAAAGGGATCCGCTTGCTCCTTCCACGGAGCAGGACTCGGAGCTCTGAGTGCTACAGGGACACATCCTGACACTGCATGGGCTGGCAGAGCCTGGGGGAAGCCCAGTGCCAGCCCCTGCCTGGCCAGCAGCGACACTGGCCAGGGAGCCCCGTGTCCTCAGGGACCTGTGTCCTCAGGGGACCTGCACTGGTCACCGGTAACAGCCCTGAGGAGGGGAGGGCAGAGGCACCCAGTGGCAGCAGGGAGGGGCCCAGGAGGGGAGCATTTCTGATGGCAGGGAGGGAAAGAGATGAATCCAATGGGAAGCGGCTGGGGGGATTCGAGACTCAGTGTGGACTGGGAGCACATCACTCAGCAACAGCTGGTGCTGCCCCTGCACTGCTTCCCCCAAAGTTGGGGACCCCACAGAGTGGGAGCAGCTCGGCACAAGGAGGGTTAAGGCAAACAAAACCCGAGCAGGTTCTTTAACTGGTGCCAAAGACAGCAGAGGAAAATAGGACGAGCAGGCGAGATCTGTGGGCAGGACAGAGCCAGCTGGCTGGCACCACTTCCCGGGCTGTGCCGGAGCGTGTTTAGGAATAGCTCCAGAATGACGAAGGCAGAGGGGCTGCCAGCCCGGTGCTCGTGCCCCGCGTCGCACGGACCCTCCCGGGGGCCCAGGGCATGTCTGCTCAACCCCAGCCCTGAGCCTTCACAGCTCTGCTCCCTGATACTCCCCCCAAGGGCATCCCGGCCAAAGATGGCGCTTGGAGAGAGAGCAGGAATGCTGAGAGAGCTTCTCTCCTCTTCTCTCTCCGTCCTCACCGTGGACACTCCTGCCCCAGCTGGGTCATGGATTTTTCCTCTCCCTGCCTCCTCCAGGTTGCTCCTTCTTCCCTCCCGGCTCCTTGCCAAGCATGACAACAGCGCCAGTCCCGCTGCGGTCCCCCCTGTTCCCAGGGCACTCACCACTGGGGGACCCCCCATTCCCAGGGCACTCACCGGGCTTTCAGCTCCTTGTGCTCCTCCCGGACTTTGCTGAGCTCCAGCTGCAGCCGAGCTCTCTCCTTGGCCACCGAATCCAAGGTCTTGCGGGCATCTGCCAGCTCTGACTCGTAGGCAGCCTTGATGCCCGAGACCTCTCGGCTCACCACCTCCTCGGACTCGGTGATGCGGAGCCTCAGGCCGGCGTTCTCCAGCTCCAGCGAGCGCACCTTGTCGATGTAGACGGCCAAGCGGTCATTGAGCTCCTGCAGGTCCTCCTTCTCCTGCAGGCGGGTGATGCGGGTAGGGGACAAGGGGGTCCCCGAAGCCCCGCTGCGGGTGCTCCTCTTCTGCGAAGGCGTCGCCATGGGGTCCGGTGTCGAGGCGAAGGACACGGCACAGGTCACGGCGCGATGTCCCACGCCACCCGCCCAGCTGTCGCGGCAGCTCCTGGTGTCTGAGTGACTTGCTTATATCCCAGCTGGGCTGTAACCGGGAGGAGGAGCTGCGAGGCAGCGGCGGGTGGAGTTATCCAGAACCTGGGTGGAGACAACTCACAGCAGTCCCGGCCCTTCCTTGGGAAAGGCATCCCTGGGAAAAGGGGGCTTGGGAGGGCAGCTGTGGGGGCACATCCCGGGGTGACTCCTGGTACACACACACACACACACACACACCCCCTTTTATAGGGTGATTCCCCTCACGGAGGCTGGCTTGAAGCTTGGGGGGATTTGGCACGGGCAAAGTGCACCCTGAGAGGGGCTGCAGTAATGAGCGCCCCCGGGACATCGCTACCCCACACGACAGGGGGGTGCATCTCAGCAGCTGCTGACCCCAGGATGTGTGGGGTCCCGGAACACCCTGAATGCAGGAGCCACAGGCTGCACAGGACCCTGGGGTAGCCCAAACTCTAGGGTGCAGGGACCCAAATACAGTCCCAGGTCACCCAAAACACCCTGGCCTGGGGTCTCCCTGAATCCTGAGGCATCACAGAGCCCTGGGGCACCAGAGGATTCCCCCTCTCCCCCCCCACTGGCTTTGCCCAGTTCTCTCAGCACTAGCTATCCCCCTTTCCCAGCTGTCCCCAGTACTAGCTGTGACCAGTTTTATCCTTCCTCCCAGTTTCTTGTGCCAGCTATGCCAGTTTGTAACTCCACAAATCCCGAGCACCAGTTGAGCCCAGTTTCCCCCCACCCCAATTCTCTGCACTGTTTCCTGCTCTCCTGACTCCAGCCATTCCCAGTCCCACCAGCACTCAGGCATCCTTCCAGTATGTCTAGTTCCCAGAATGGGTGATTCCAGGTCCTCTCAGGTGCTGGGAGCAGAGTCTGGGGTGCTCTGCCTCCCTTGAAGTGCTGCCAAGACTCAGGTGGTTCATGATTTCCAGATCTGCCACACACTTCCTGGCACCCCCAAGTGCTGCCACAGAGAGGGGGCCCTCTCGGACTTCACCCGTGTTTCCTTGTGTTGTGCTGTGAAGCTAATCTCTCCCGTGTCAGAGAAATGTGAGTGAAATGACAAAGGGAACAGAAAAGCAACCCTTTTACACCCTAGAAATGAGTGGTGGGCAGGGGTCCTGGGGGCTCCAGCTCCCTCCTTGTGAGCCCCTGCTTGGGAAGCTGGGCTCTGTGGCATTGAAAGCAAGAAAGGGAGATGCTCCCCGCAGCTGGGGACACTGGCGAGAGCCAGGGCACCCCAAAGCCAACCTCCCCCAACCGTTCCCTGAGGAGAGAGGGGTCCAAGGTCAAGGGCACAGGCAACATGCCGCTTCCTGAGCCACGGCTGCCTGGCTCCTCCTGTCCCTGCTGCAATCCAAGCTCAGTTTGCTTCCCGGCTCGGGGAGTGCAGCAGAGCCCCAGGCAGGCTGGGAATGACTCACACAGCAACGGAACAACACATGCGAACACGCAGCACACACAGAGACACACACGCGTGTGTGCGCTCCGGCAATGATTAACACGCTGGCAGCTCGTCAGTCCCGCCAGCCAGAGCACAGAGCGGGATGGGGAAGGGACCCCATCAGGCTTTTAAAAAGCAAAAATCAAACTTTCAAAAAGCAACAATCAAACTTTCAAAAAGCAACAGCCCTATGCCAGGAATCTGCCCCAGTGCCATGACAGAGATGGGGGGGCCGAGGGGGAGGTGGCCGGGCACAGCCCTCCTGGTGCAGCCACGGGAGGGGTTTGGGAGCTGGTTAGGGTGCTCGTGCCACCCCCCCCCCTCCCCCAGCCCTCCTTGCACCTCCTTCCCCATCCTGGCTCACAGGAAGACCCTCTTGGCATACAAAGTGCTGTGGGCAGGGGGTGACTGTGCCCACCCAGGGCTGGTGTCCCTGTGGCCCCGGGGGGTCTCGATAGGAGAAATAGAAACTCTCTTTCACCCCTCTCCTTTGTTCAGTCCCAGATGAATTCCCCTTTTCCTCCTTCCTCCTGCCTTCTCTGCTGTCCCAGGCTGCATTTCCTTCCCCATATCCTCCCATGCACATAGCCCCTTCCCTGCTGCAGAGACACCACAGCCCTGGGGACCCCCATGCACGTCACATCCCCAAGGCAGGCGAGAGTGGCAGGACTGTGCCGTGGGGCAGAGGACACAGATGGAATGATGGTGGTGGTGGCCCTGGCCCCATGGTGAGCCCTGCCGGGGCCATGGCCCCCCAGCGCTCCTGCCACAGAGTCTCGCTGCCCAAGGCGGGTCTGGCCTGCGCTCGGCTGGGCTGTGGCTGCCAAGCCGCGGGGCACTGTGGGACGTGTGGGCCGCCTGCCACTGCGCAGCTCTGTTTTGTTTTAAAAAGTAACCCCTGGGCGGGAGGGAAAGCGCTTGTGTTCTTTGCCTGACAGTGCTCCCTGAGTGGGAGGTGTCTGCCGGGGTCCGGAGCGTCCACAGGGATGCGGATCAGAGCACCCCCAGGGACGTGGACAGCGGGGCCAAAGCTTCCTTGCTTAGTGTGGGAAACAGCATCCAGGGCAAAGGCAGGGAGGGACCAGCTTGGGCAATAGCTGAAAATCACAGCTAAGGGGCATTGGCATAGCCGGTCCCTGCTCTGGCACCCCCATGAAGCTTCTGCCATGCACAGGACCCTGGCTCACAGTCCCACGCTTCACTGCCTGGGGGGCTGAGCCTGAGGGCTCCCCCAGGCTGGGGGAGGACAAGACAGGGGACCTGAGGGAACGTGCTGGCTCCAGAGCCTGCAGTGGTTGTTGGCAGTCCAGAGTGAAGAGCCCCTGGGGAGGGTCAGACTTTGGCTCCTTTGTAGAAGTTGCTGCATGTAGAGCTCCCCAGGATGGGATTGCTGTTGATGCTCCCACACCACACCTCTGCAAACCCTCTTCTTCTGGACACAGATAGCCCCACACCGCTCTGTTCCCCACCACCCCCTGGGGGCTGCAGGGGCGATGTCCTCAGCCCCACTGTAGAGCAGGGCAGGCAAGAGCATCCTGACCCAGCACAGGCACAGGGGCATGGGGAGCCCATCACCAGCACAGCCCTGAGCTGGTCACTGGGTCTGGCAAAGAGGCACTTGGCACTTGTGCGAGGAAGGAGGGTTTAACTCAAACCAGATGAGCCAGGAGGACAGTCTGTGCTCCACAGCTCCAGTATGGGCAGGGTGCCATGCTTCAGCCCACAAATATGGATTTCTCCAGGTTCCATGGGCACCGAAGGAACTCAGGGTGCAGGACCCTGCAACAGAGCAACAGAAGGGTGAGGGATGAGGGGTGGACAGGAGTCTGGGGCTTGAGGAGAGGCTCTTAGCTTGGGCTGTATCTTCCTCATGTGACTCAGAAGGCAGAAAGCAGTCACATCCCTGGAATTTCAACTCCCTTCCAGCTCTTTAGCCTCCAAAATATTCCAGGAATATCACAAATGTGGTGCAAACACTTGTGCATATGTGGGCAGTGATGGAGCTGGGAGTGGGGGCAGCAAGAGGAGCTGCAGCTCCAGGGACCCCCACACCATGCAGCTGCTCCGGCACAGAGGGGTGAGGAAGGGGACATGCCATGGTGCCAGGCAGTGCCCCTCGGGGGAGCCCTGTGGGCTGCTTTTCCAGTGGCTTTTCAGCTCTTTTAGGCTCTTAGCAAGGATCCTGCGTTCACTTCCCAGACTGCACAGCTTTTGGCATCAGAGCAACCCAGGGCTGAGCCATCCTGGTCCCCCCCACACCTTCCAAGTGCTCTCCCCAGCTGATGCATTCCCCTCACTCTTGGCCCTAGCACAGGGCCATTTCTCCAGCTATTTCCTTTCCAGGGCAGATACACCCCATCTCCAGGATTTTCTCTTTCCAACCCTCTCTTCTGGCCAAAAAGATGTAGCATCCTTAGCCCTTCACCCCCACCCACCCTACTACCAGGAGGAGGAGATCCCAGCCTCCAAATTTTTTCCCATCTTTGACCCAAGAGAGTTGAAAATTGCTGGGTTGGGTGCACGCAGCAGTCCATTAGCCCTATAGACCTGCCTAAGTGCCATGCCCAAGGATGAAGAAAGAGATGGTGGCAGAGGCCAGGGTGGGACCTGGAGAAGGAGGAATGGCTTTAAACTGAAAAAGAGTAGGTTTAGATGAGCTGTTGGGAGGACATTCTTCCCTGTGAGGACAGTGAGGCCCTGGCACAGGTTACCCAGAGAAGCTGTGGCTGCCCCATCCCTGGAAGTGTTTCAGGCCAGGTTGAACAGGGCTTGGAGCAACCTGGTCTAGTGAAAGGAGCCCCTGCCCATGGCAGGGGGTTGGAACTAGATGAGCTTTAAGGTCCCTTCCAATACAAACCATCCTGTGATTCCCTGATCTCCCCATCCAGCACCCTGACCCATCACATCATGCCATGCTGACCTCAAAGCTCTGGCTGCAATGGGCTTCCAGTTCCACCACCCCCCTCAACAATCTGTGCACATAAGGAGGTTGGGGTGTGTGTATAGAGGAGTTTTAATTAGCTAATAATCTTTAATAGGGTTTAATTGCCTTGTTATAAAAGGTAATTACAGCAATACATCAATTAGAGATGTAAAATGAATAGATTTACCAGTTGTATTTATTGAGGAGCTGTGACTGGCAGCACACAACAGCCAGGACAGTGCCAGTGGTTCTGCTCTGATATCCAACAGTGGGAAGGAGAGCAGCCCCCAGGCTGCTCTGGCATGGATCCTGTCCAAGCCTCTCCACCCAGGACAGTCTGGGAACCACCACCAGCAGCAAACTGCCCCATGAGCAGCAGCCAGGCAGAGCAGATGGACAGACAACAGGCCTAATGGGAAGATGAGACCCTGTGGGTGCAGGGTCAGGCTCATGGGGCACCTGTCATGTCCCCTGGGGACACTGGAACAAGTCACCTCTGCTCTGCTGGAGCTCCTGAGATGGGAACAGCTCTGTCTGCCTGTGCTGGGGCAGATGTCTGCCCGCAGCAACCACCATGAGGATGCCCACGTCCCCCCACATTCCCATGCTTCACTCTTAAGAAAAAAACATCCCTAAAATTCAGTGTC